GACTAAGTGGAAAAGAGTCCATAACATTAATAAGTGCACCAGAAAAATGCATTTGTATTTTAAGTTGTGTACATACGTGATGTGAAATGAAACAGGATAGTGGCCCAATTTCAGCAAACATGCCTACCTGCATTTGAAAGAAAACGTATCGTACTTTTTCAACATGTGTGTTTTTTTACCCAACGTACTTTGTTAATTTGCTTTACAACTGCATCCAGCACTTCTCCCTTGAACGGCCGGAATACAATCGCCTTATATTTTACTGGATACACTACAAATCCCTGTCCGGGCTGTATGACACCTGAGCCAATTTGATCGATTGTGGTCACCGCTATCACAAATCCATACTTCCCCGTGCATGTACCTTCTACTTCTGTATAAAGTTTCTGTTTAACAGTCTCCAGCAATTGTGGACCGAAATAACGCGGATGCAAGAGAATCTCATGCTCGAGGGAGATCTAACCATTAGAAAAATGCATCTCAGATAAAGTAGTTGAATTTCTCAGAGGTCTGACTTTACTTACGTGGTAAAACATTATAAATTGCTGGTATATTTAATGAACAAAAAAGCACAAATGGTATTTTAAAAGCAAAAGTGCAAAATATCAGCGCAAAATTGTTTATTAAATCAGAGAAAATTGTAAACAGCGGCGGCATTAATTTCACTATAGTCAAATGTCAAAGATGACAGCAGTAGAAGGTGGTCAGCAGGGTTGCATTATGGGAACAAAAAATTAGGTCAAAATTAAAGAAAGTTTTCAAATCAGTGTTGGCAAAATGTTAATCTGATTAAGGTTTAAAAATTACCGATTAAAATGTTTATCGCGATTAACAACTAAAATTAATTAACCATAATCATCTGTACGATTAGTGAATAAATTTTTTTAATCGTTAATCGTCGGTTGTGATTAGGATTAATTAATTTTATTTGTCAATGTTATTGTGGCTTGTTAACATTTTATTTTTAATATTTTTATTGAGCTTTGTACCACGATTGTTTATTAGGAAAAATTGAAAAAGCAACAAAGTCTAAGCGGTAGAAGTTATAGCACTATTTCGGAGATCACCACATCTCCTCATCAGACTTATTTTTTCTAGACTTCAGCATTAATTAATTTTAATCATTAATCGTTAATCCAATTAAAAAGAAATTCTGATTGAGTACTCTAGTTTGTCCCAATTTGAAACCAGGCAAGAGTTATAGTGATTCTTTTGTGTTTCACGCTTATACAATATACATAATATTTAAAATAAAAGATTGTGTTGCTTATTGGCCTTTTAGTATAATTTAATTTAATGCGCAGAACATTTAATGTTTTATTTAACATACGGGCTACAGCTCAAAAATAAATTATTAAATAAAAAAAAATTTATTTTTATTAGTAATACATAAACAGGGAATTTTTACAACCCATGGCACATGAGCAGAAGGATATTAAAACCTAGTTTACATAATGTCTGTTGGGATAGATTTTAATGACAACGCACACAAAATTGCTTAAGATTGATGAGGAAAACCGACTTAGCCAAACTCGATTAACTGGCCTTGTGTGCGCAGGAAAATTCCAGCGTAAATTAATTAATCACCAAAACTACTTAATCAAATTAAGGGATAATGATGAAACATTAAATTTTTTAATCGCGGTTACGATAAGCTGTTTAACCAGATTAAAATTAAATATGATTAACTGTAATCGGATTGAATTTAATCGAATTAACTAATTGATAACAGAATCAATCGATCACTGCCAACACTGATTCAAATATAAAATTGGAACAAATGCAGAATACCTACAATTCTCAAACAAAAAAAATTCATATGGGGATCGATAGAGATCATTGAGATGAGCATAGCGGTATATTTTTTTTTTTTGGAAACAACCACTACAACAATTATTAAAGGTCAAAGTTCAAGTTATCATGGATTTTAATGTCATTCAATAGAGAATTTAATTCTCTTTAATCTGATATATATACATATCGAGCCCTAATCGCCAAAATAACGTAAGCGACATTTTTTTCAAAAGTTTCTTTTTGATGCAGAAATGTATCTAGATGCTCTAAGAATATTTCTGCATCAAAAAGAAAATTTTGAAAAAAATGTCGCTTACGTTATTTTGGCGGTTAGGGCTCGATATGTTATAGTTTTCACAAAACTCGAATTAATGTGGGAAAAAGGTAAAAAGTGTTTTTGCGTATAACTTATTTCGGCGTAGGCGGCCTTCGGCCGCACTTATCGATTGTAAAATCCTGATTATGGCAACTTAACTTAACTTAACGGAACGTAGAACTTAGAGAATCAAAATGAAATAGATTTCGACGTGGCATTAAGTTACTCTAAGTTTCGGCTGTTCAATTATAAGCAACACCCATTTAACAAAATTTTCAAGAGAGATCCGTAAGTTACGTTAAGTTGCCATAGTCAGACCTTTCTGTATTGCCAGAAAAAGAGGCCGAAGTATTTCTGCGCAGAACTTCTTTTTGAGTCAAAGTCGCTAGCGAAGTGAAGTATCTGGGACTTATCCTCGACATAAAACTTCTGTGGAAGAAATATGTGGACGCGATCACCTCCAAGGCCACAAAAGCTTTAACGGTGTGCAATCATCTAGCGGGAAAATCCTGGGGATTTACTCACAGGATCATAAGATGGCTCAACATCATGATAGTATAGCCAATGATTACCTAGGGGCGGTATCTTCGATTTCAAGAACTACTCTAACGACAGCGAGATAAACGCTCACCAAGCTACAACGGCTGGCATGTGTATGCATAACAGGAGTGATGCGCAAATATCCGACGACGACGCTGGAAGTAGTCCTTGAGCTTGAGCCTCTTCTTATAACCATAGAGCAAGCAGCCAAAATACCTCTGCTTAATATTGCCAGAGAGAGAGATTTGGAAAAGGTAAGGTCATTTCCTCTAGGAGTGTTGAGAAGCAAGGGGCCTCGATCCCATTAGCCCTGTTCCCTAGAGATGACACAGGCGAAACCATAGTTTTTTTAGAAGGGGTTCAAAATAGGGCTTTGCAACAAAGCAACCTGAAGTGTCTCCGTGTTCGAGAGACACAGATGGCTCGAAGATCCCAGAAGGAATAGGTGCTGGAATCGTCAGACCCAGGACCAGGACTTCTGTTCCTATGGGGAAATGTCCGAGCGTCTTTCAATCAGATGTTTACGCCATCTTCCTATGTGCGGATTTAATCATGAGTAGAGGGTATAGAAACGAGAGAATCATAATGCTAAGTGATAGCCAGGCGGCACTCAAGGCCTCATGTTCTATGAGGTCAAATCGTCGCGGGTCCTTGAGTGCATTGAGACACAATAGCATCAAGTTAGCGTGGCTACCTGGCCACAAGAGAGTGGCGGGTAACGATGCGGCTGACTGTCTCGCAAAAGAGGCGGCAGTCATTAGTCCAGTTGGCCCCGAACCCATCCTAGGAGTGGACCCCAACACTCTAAAAGAGGAGCTTAGGAGGGAGAGGAACATCATGAGGGATATAAACTGACAGAGTTCGTCAGGAATGCGTCAGGCAAAGAGTTTACTGCGAGGGTATAACAAAAGGAGATGCCATAGTTTTAATTGATCGCCGAAAAGAGAAGCTTAGATTAAGGCAGGCTGAGAGGACATCTATACAAGCTGGGGATATGGTCGATCGACCTTTGCCGGTTTTGCGACTCAACCACCGAGACGTGAGAGAAGTTAGGCTCAATGTGGCCACAGTTTAAGCACATTCACTCCCTATCCCCAAAGGTAGAGTGGAACTTTCTCAGGAATTTAGATTAAGCGGATGTACTGTGTAGAGTGGAGGGCACAATAGATTAATAGATTCCGGTGCAAATGTCATTTTATTATCTATCTATGAAACCAAGTTTTGTTAAAGCTGGGTTTTATATGGAAAAATGTTGTCGGTTTTCCCAGGTTGGCGATTTTAAGCGCATTTTTCAATTTGAAGTTTGCAGTGGCAGAGCAGCATTTAAAAAAATTAAAAATAGTTTAAATGTAAATATTTACATCATCAAAGGCCGCCCTAGGGGTTCTGATTTCCGAGGAATCTGAATTTCTAATTTATAAAGAAAGAAGTGTAAACAATGTTTCTCAACAATGTTTCTAAATATTTTGGCACCTGTTAGATGATTCGTTCGATCCAAGGCTGATATTATAGTGATCCTCTATGTATTAGTAAATGAATTCCTTAATGATTTCAAAAAAATATCTTTCAACAGTGATCCTCCCAATAAGCGGGGGCCCTTCGGTGCTAGGAGGTACTTTGATTTTTGCTCGATTACCGTTAGACAAATTTTTCTTAAAATTTGTGTAAGTCATGACGAGGCCTTTGATGCTTAAGCGCCCGCCTAAAGTAACCCAAGCAGCTTACGAACTCCTCAGCAACTGAAACAGCATTTTTGGTCATATACGAAGATGCTTACAATCAGGTGTTGCACTAAGCTAAAACAGAGCCCAACGTAAAATACTTAGCGTGGCTGTCTAAATTAAACAAGGCACTTGTAAAGTATAATTCTTTTCATATTTTCTTACTTTCAAACACATTTCACATGCTGCCAAATGTGTAAAAACAAATATTAATATTTTAGGTACATCTGTTTGCTTTGAGGTACAATATTTTCCACACATTACATAGATACAATCTGAAAATTTAATTTTCCATCTCTGGTGCGCACAATTTCAAGTTTACTAAACACGTTTTTAAACTTTACTCATCAATGTAAATAAGGAAAAAAGTATAAGTTGTAGGAAACTTGCCGCTGAGCTGAGCTGCTATTGAGATTTGAGAAATACAAACATATACACAAACATATGTACATTCATACAAGATATTTGAAGCTGAGATAGTGATTTTTTTTCAAACTTGCAAAACATACGCAAAGAATTGAAATCAGTTTGATTTTAGCCGCTGAATCGTGGAGTGTGTCTTGGGAGCATATGTGACTTTTATTCAATAAGGAGATAATTAATACAGAAATTTTAAATAATATACATATAAGGTACATACATACCTACTGATAATACAGGTTCGAAGCTTACCACACGATTTTAATAAGTAAAATTTGATGTGAACTTACATATATTTATTGTATAAATAAATGAAAATGTATTTTTACTTAGTATAAGTATTGAATGTGTAACTTAATGCTTGAAAAATAATTTTTATTTATGTACATGTGTTGTGGAAAAATATAACAATTATTTATAGTTACTCGTAAAATTATAGTTTGTGCATGTAAACAATAGATAATACCGAGTACCTATAATTAACTGCAATAATGTATAACTACCCAGCAAACACAGTTTCAAACGTTTGAGAAATTTTTATATCTCAATTCGATATCGAATGTTTTTCTCAAATGATTATCAAATTAAAAACATTTCAAATTCATTTGCGATTGATTAGGAGAAACATGGCAAGTGTCAAACGATATAAAAGTGCACAGTTAAATAAAAAAATTTAATAAAATTAAATTCAATTGAAAAAAAACAAAGAATAGAAAAAAAAAATATTCAAACAGAAAGCCCACAAATATGTAGTGGATTTGATGTTTGCGTGGATTGAGAAGGCTCCAGCGCATCAAGATGAATTTATTGGAAATTACTTTATCTTAATTGTTTCTTCTGTTATGTGTGCACATCGTGAAGAAAAAATAAATATGAAATATACATTTCCCATAATAAATTTTATTTCCACATTTGAGGAACAATTGATAAATAACCTTTGAAATTGATTTGAGAGTCAAACATATTCTCAAATGGAGCTCAAACTCTCCTTTTTATTGAGAAAGCTGTAATTTTCAAATCAATATCAAACCATTTTCAAACGTTTGACATTTTAGAAAAGGCTTTGATTTCAAACCATTTTCAAATGTATATCAAACCTTATTGTTGGCTGGGTAATTAGATAAGTTGTGCTATAGCCGCGTACGCTTGAGTCTGTGAGATATATACTTGTATATATACATATATATAAACAGTCAGTAAGTCCTGGGTACGATCGTATAAATGCTTGTACACCAAGAGAAAAGGACGAGGGTCCATGTGGATCAGACATGGGCAGAGAACGAGCACACGCTCATAGAGCATAAGCATCACGTGTACGTATACAAGCAAGAGCGGAACGATGAGAACGCAGCAGCGTGCAAAATGACTAAGTACTAGTACAGGACCACACTACCTTGTAACCAACACTAGTAACCAAAATGGTCCAAATATATGGAGAAAATAGGGTTACATTAACATTGCGATGTCATTGGACCTGACCACCTCTGGTCCAACGCTGCATAACATGGGACCACTTTTGGTCCACCACTGCATAACATGGGACCACCTAGACAACTACTCCTTTTGAACCATGTCACATTCGGCAACCGAATCATATTGCCGATCGGCCACGAAGAGGTGGTGTTCAACACATATATTAGTTTTTTACGTTTGAAGTGGTCCAGGTCAGCATAACAAGTTACTAGTATGCAACCTGGTCCTTGTGCTCATACTTTAAAACTACGACCCAGTGGACCACCTGGTCCTCAAATTTTTGCAGGAGAATTAGACACACTAACACATTCCCACTTTTAGCGATCGCTTATTTGTGGTAGTGCCCACCTCTGATGTGGATACATATATATGTATGTACATACATACATACATTAGACTGTACCACCTTCAAAGCAAAAAATAGTTCGCCGTACGCCCCTAAATATTCTTTCATGACATTTTCGAAAAAAAATTTGGCAATACATTTTTTTTAATAGTTCCACTTAAATAATCAATAGACCCCCTAAAAAAGTTTAATGATCTTTGGAGAGTTTTAATTTACTGGCATTAGGATGGTATGTTAGAGTGATAAGTTTCTATTTTTCGAAACTAGGGGTCGCAATAAAATTTTTTGTAATAATTTTACTAGCATTATCAAAATACTTTACTGACGTTAGGATGGTATGTTAGAGTGATAAGAACTGAGATCTGGTGGGTAAGTACCATATAGAACGGAGAAGCAGGTCAATGAACTTTTGATAAAAAACGTACTCCTTGACACAAGAAAATCGATATTAGAGATGCTGTTTTTAAATCGAAGATCGATTAATCGAACCTTTCCAATTGGATTTTTTTCGATCTTTTAGTTGCGACTTGATCCACGAATCGATCCCAATTAATTTTTCTTCAATTGATGCATATTGATTTACAGTTTGCCCTAGAAAATCTGTAAAATTTTTAATAAATTTGAATTCGAGTTTTGTACAAAAAAAAAAATTAAAGAGCTTGGCACATCCCACCTTTTCCATTTTAGAGAGCTAAGACCTCCGGCTATAGGACTCCTCAAGGAAACCTCTTGAAATTAACTCTATATAAAATTATGCGTAACAAATCATATAACAAAAACTCTAAAAGCTCAAAAACTTTTGTGCAAATTTTGATTAGAATTTTACACTCGCTAATTACTAATTTTAGAAAAAAATGGGGTCTGTATATATTTTTTTTATTTTAAAAAATTTCAAGTTTAAAGATTCTAGGACGTAACGTTTGTTTTTGGGGATGATTTTTCTTGTTGATGTTGATGTTTTAAACATCTCTTGCGTTTGGCGAACTTTTTTCAGGTACAGTCTAATGTATAATGAAAAATGTACACTTAAAAAGTTTTTAATGCAGCGAGTTAGCAAAGCCAAAGTATAGCAAATCATACATGTAATAAGTTTATTTTCCGCATAAGATTTCATATTAGTAAATTTTGGGTATCTAGTTTACTTTCATTGACGTCTTAGGTTTAACTCATTTTGTGGAACTTCTTCTTCATACAATTTGCGATAATAAATTGCAAATAACATACAATTAGGAAAACCCCCCAAACTGGTGGCGTAAATAATGGGCTTACTTACGTAGTTTACATACACATAAATACATACATATATACACACATATGCATATACAGTGAAACGTCGCTATAACGAACCTTGAGGAAACGAAAAACTCAATATAACAAAATCCTTGAAAATCCTGAATCCCCTACAAAAACCTCGTTGTTGCGAAATTTTCTATATACAAATTCTCCATAGATACAACGAAAAAACTTTGAGCATAAAAAACCTTCGGAATATATGTTGACGGTTAAAATTGCGCTATATTAAGGGTAGTTTTTTAATTTATTTTACATAGCGCTCTATTACTTGATATATATGTATGTAGATGGAGTTATATGGAGGGTACTCGAGAAAATTTCTCAAACTCACATAATTCTTGCAAATAAAGCCATACATATATTAATAGAACTCTTTTAATCACAACCTACCTAAGTCTCGATAATATTTAAGATATTTGTGCAATTTAGACATATTGTTCCGATTTAGACTGTGTGTAGCCCAAAAAGCGTAAAAATTGTAAAACCGCGATTTTCCAAATCGTTTGCCGACCTCTAAAATGCAGCCGGTTTTGGATTTGGTGTTCGTTTTGTAAACATAATAAATAAAATCAGGTTTTAAAAGCCGCTTTCGAAAATAGTTTTTTACTGTAACGCTCATATCTTTAATATAACTTAAGCTAAGGCAATGTTATTGACATTTTTGAACATCTAATAAAATTCGAATACAGTGAAGACCGAAAGTTAACATTTGAAGTGTACGGTTATCGCCCTTTTCATATTCATGTAGCTTGTAAAAAATTCGTTTGAATACGAACTTGCAATAATTTCAAAATGAGACTTACTTCTCTTATCAAAAAAAGTTGCGTATCAAACGTTGTTAGTGAATAGATTTTCTGCCGAAATATATGATAAAATCTAATTTTTTTTAAATTGGTCCTAAAATTGCCACGCCCATTCGGATAACGGATATTTGGAACGGATATTCTGCCGCCTTAAACAAAAATCTTCCCTAACAAACATTTTTACTTGATGGATATTCTACCGGAATCGGCAATAAAATTTACACTTTTGCGAAAGCACGCTTTTTGATACGTTGCTAACTATAGCGATTTTGTCTTAAAATTTTGAATTTATCGTTGTACATATTACGGTTTTGATCTTCTATAAATAGATGTATATATTTTTTTGTGTATGAAGAAAGCATCGAAAGTCTGACCCCTTTAACTTCGCTATATCGGGGTTTTACTGTAGTACACATGTATATGTAAATATGAAGGTACATATGTATGTATGCAATCAGAGTGCAAAATATACGATGCGTTTTTGAGAAGCTGACAAGCTGCTTTACAGCAAATACATTTGCTCTCAGCGCTTAATCGACGTTTGGCACATGCTCACCTGCGAACTTTTTATTATTACAGACATACAAATGAACATTAGGGTGGTCCAAACAAATTTTTTCCAAGGTAGGGCTGGGGCACCTCCCAAAAATTTTCCTCTTGCCGAAAAAGGTGCTGATACCAATTTTTACGTTTATAAGTGTAAATTTAGAGGATGCTCATGATGCTCATATTTTACTCTATAAGTATTGAGTACATGTATTAATCAAGCAATTGGTTAAGCAAGCGAGGAACATCTAAGATTTAAATTATCTAAAATATATTATATATATAATATATATTATAAGCTTCAGTTGTCATGGCAACAGAGAATTTTTATAAAAATCAGCAATATTTTTGCCAGTTTCGATCCAGTAGCGCATTTCAAGGTCATTGGTTGCAGTAGAGAATTGTAAGTTGGTATAGATATTACAAATATCAAAATGAAAACACTAAGGGGGTGCCCCGTTTGCTTGGATGGAAATTTGTTTCCCCATGCAAAAATTGGACCACTCTAATATACATACATATTACACACAAGTCTATATAGTAGTATATATACATATGTATGTAAATGTTTCGCGAATTTGTAAGATCATTGAACATTAATTTCAAGTTCGATAATGCACTTCAAATTTCGCGTGTGTAAGCCGGTTTGTCTTTTTCATAATCATTTAATTAATTTTTGGTGATAAATTTTACCCAGAGACCAAAAAAAAACGTTAAATATCAAGGTTATTTTATTTTTAGATCGTTTCAGATTTATTCCTTATTTTGTGATTTTTATTTTGTCCCGAACATTTTTATTCATTATGATGAAGACGTGTGTTTTTATAGCCGATTTGAATATTTTACGATCTAAATAATTGAATCTGAAAATAACATCGAAAAAATATAAATCATAAAATAACGCTTAAATTTGATTGCGCAAAATACAAATCCAATTTTAAATGTTAAATTATGCGCCCTAGTTATAATCAAAATAAAGTCGAATCTAAAGTTCAAAGCAACTTTTTTGACAGTTATACCATTGCAAGTTATGTCAAAAAGTTGCTTTTAACATTCGAGTCAACATTACTTTTATTGTAAAGATCATAACAATTATGGACCCTGAGTGTACTACATCAGCTCATTTCTTTAATCTGCCAAGGTCTCGCCGCTCTTATGTAATTATGCATGCTTACTATGTATTTATATGTGAACATACATGCATAAGTATTTAATAATGATCTACTTTTTATTTATTGAAAAAAATCGTATTTTATTAATTAAATATCAATATTAAGTTTAGCCGCTGATAAGCTTTATCAAGTGATGAGGAACAATAACACTCTAGAAATATTTACTAAATAAAATTTTGTATTTACATACATATGTACATTAGACTGCATCACTCCCCAAAAAAAAAAAACGGTACTGTTTTTTCATTGGAGTTATAAGATCTATTATATTTTAACACAACCACCAAAATATCTCGGAAAAATATTAAGATTTACGTGAGCTAGACCGATTTGAAAATACCTCCAAAAAAAGAGTTTTTATGAAAAAAAATTTTTTCTTAAAGATTTTTTTTTTTAAATCCCCTCAAATGACAAAACGGTTTAAGCTTAAAAAATTTGCAAAGAAAATTAAAAAAAATTTTGAACGGAATCGTAATGATGACCATTTACCCTTTCTACGAAAATTTTTATTTTTCCCATATAAAAATACATGGAAAACTTTGAACGCTTTAAGCGACCTCTAAATATTTTTCGATTTCAAAATAGAAAAATAGGGGTATACTTTTTTTCAATATAGAAGAATCCTAAGAGGTGAGAATATTATAATTTCGGCTTTACTATTTTTGGGCCACCCTAATGTACAACTAGCGGACCCGACAACATTTATTTCGCCCAAAATATATGTATATTTTTTTTAATATTGGTCCAAAATTTCCAACAACAATACATGTTCACGTCTTCCAGTGGCGCATTTCTCTGCTCTGCCAAAATTGGTATCGAACTAAAAGTATCGGGTATGTACTTGTATTTACTTGTATCGTTTCATCCCTACTTGGCAGCAGTGTAAAGTTCAATAGAAAAGTACATGCGGCATACAAGTCTTTTTCACGTTTTTTTTTCTTATATAAATTAACTGACGAAGACTTGCATGCCGCTTCCGCTTTTCTCTCAAAGTGTTTACCGCTGGCAAACCCTAATAAAGTTTAAAATAGTAAAGTAAAATCAGTGGAAAATTAACAATACAATACTTTTTCGCTAAATCTCTAAATGGACCTTTTATTTTTGAAAAAAATAAAAAATCTTCGCCACCCTGTAGGTTTTTTGATGGAAATTCGATCATGTCTTTTCCATATCCAGCAACTGTAAAAGGGGCTGCTAAGGATTTACAACGCACTCTAACCTAACCTATATACAAGTTGTTTTCTTATAACTGATAAAATTTTGAACTTGAAAAATCATTTAAAATGTATGCTCATAAGTTCAATTGACCTTATTGCATTAATAACCATTTAAGGAAAAACCTGCAAGGAGACTGAAAAAATCAAGCTAACACTCTTTGCAAATACTCTTAAAAAAATTAAGAGTTTTTCTTCATGATCGTGACTTTTCGGTGTTGTTAACGCTATGTAGATCCTGTGTAGGTAGATTAGATGTTTCTTACGCTGCACGGTGATCGGAGAAGTTATGTTTTGCGTCAAAAATTAGAAGGACGATTACGATTTAACGGAACTGTAGGATGATTGAGTTATTGTCATGCTAAACCGAATATGCCATAAATTTTATAGTTGTCCAGTTGACAGATATCAAATCAACTGTCAATTTTTCTAAAGATTAAATCTTTTTTAAAATGTCACTTATTAGGTTTTTACACACGCATGTCACGAATTTTGAGTAAAAGAAAAAACTTTGACAGTTGACAGGAATCAAACTGACTGAAAACTTTTCTAAAAATAAGAAAATCTTTTATAAAATGCTATGACGCGCTGGTTACGAATATAATGTCAAATTAAAATTTGACATCTGTCAAATAAGCTGTAAATTTCTCTTGAAACAAGGGAAATTTTCCCAAAAATTAAACCTACTACGTTTTGAGACGCACTGATCCTGAACAACTGTCAAATTAACTGTAATTTTTTCTAAAAATAAAAATATCTTGAAAAATGCATATTTAGCGATTTTTTTTGCAGTTGAATAACACAATTTTTTTGCAAAGAAAATATTTAATTAAAGGGAACATATTAAAAATAAATTTAGAATAAAATTATGGAATAATAAAAGTAATTATAACTATACAGGGTGTGAGGCAGATGGCGGACATATATAAATGGGGATAATTGTGGCCATCTCAGCTCAAAAAAAAAACTGCCTTGTTGACCACATAATGGATTTCTAATATATACATATTAAGTTTTCAAAAAATAATTTGAAATTAGTAATGACCGAACTTAAGAATCTCTAAATAACTTTCATGAAAATTCAATCAAAATTTTAACTCGAATATGCTCCGAACTTTGTTGGCTCAAATTTCGAAATTTTTTTTAAGGTTGCCTCTTATAGGGATAAGGACACTTTATGAAAAATTAAAAAGGTAGTATCTTCGATGATGTGTTATTAAATGAAAAATACTGTCACTCTTGGACACCGTATTGGATTCGCTATTTTGAATTTTTGAAAATGTACATCAGATTTGTTAAGACACATCTTATAAATTACACATATATTGCTAAATATATTTTGTTATGTAATATTTCATGTGAAATTATCATTTGTAACAATAACACTAAACCGGGAATTACTGTTTTAATTGCAAGATTCCATGGAACGATTAGAACAAGTCACGATCGAATTCGTTGAATTAAACAGATTCAACGGCTTGCTCAGCAGATATTATTAAAAATACTTATGGGTTTTGAATTCGAAGGACATTTATGGATAATAGTGGCTTTATTATGGCTAATTTATCACAATTTACAAATTTACCTTTTTCACGTAAAACTTGGCCTCTCCGGCCACAGTGCACTAGTTAACTTTTAACACTATTTTAAATACATACCTTTTTTTTAGTTTTATATAATATGCAAATAACTGAAGACTATACATTACATATTTATTAGCCATTTCCAAAGTCATCTTTTTCTAAATTTTATAATTCTTCTACTTGTAGAAATGGTTCGCTGTCGCCCACTCATACTCCAGATAATTACAGCATTTTTACTGTGCGCACAGCCAAACGCGCAATCGAATACCGATTTGGATAGAACGATTAAGGATATCTTTTCACAGAGCCCCTCCACACCAAACCAAAGTACCGATACAGGTTTCGGTAAAATTGTGAAGGCTGAAATAGTGGATCCCTCACAACCGCAAATCGAATTCAATTCGACAAGTGGCCGGGGACCATGTAACTGTGTACCATATCACATGTGTGATCCCACGACAGGCACTGAAACCACATCAGTTGAGGATGGTGAATTTGACGGGTTCGGTTTGATCGACATACGCTTCAACAACGACGATCCTGTGTGCGAACACTTCCTCGATGTCTGTTGCGATAGTCAAAGGCGACGTAGCGACAGCCTCACGCCCAAACCACAAGAACAACGGCCTGAGCGTCAAAAAGGTTGTGGCATACGCAATGTTGGTGGAATTGATTTCAACATTACAGGCGCCTATGATAACGAGGCTGGTTTTGGCGAGTTCCCTTGGACTGTGGCCCTACTGCAGGCCGGCAATTATAGCTACTTCTGTGGCGGTTCACTCATACACCCGCAAGTGGTGCTGACGGCAGTGCATTGCGTTATTGGACGTGCGGTCTCGAGTTTCATGATACGCGCCGGTGAGTGGGACTCACAGACCACCAAAGAGCGTCTACCCTATCAGGAGCGCAGTGCGCAAAATATCATTACACATCCCAACTTTAATTCACGTAATGTTGGTAATAATTTCGCTTTGGTGGTACTAAGTCAACCACTTGTCTTGGCCGATCACATCAATGTTGTCTGTCTGCCACAGCAAAATGCAGCGCCGCTTGCCAATACGCAGTGCTTCGCCAACGGTTGGGGTAAGGATGATTTCGGTGAGGCTGGACGTTATAGCACCATTATGAAGCGTGTGCCCTTGCCTATTGTGGACTTTGGCAGCTGTCAGACGCGCTTGCGCGGCACACGTTTGGGACAGAAATTCGTGCTCGACCGTTCATTTATTTGCGCTGGTGGCGTGCGTGGTATCGATACATGCCAAGGAGATGGCGGTGCACCACTAGTCTGTCCAATTGGGTTGCCTGCGGAAAATCGTTACGAGCAGGATGGCATTGTGTCGTGGGGTATCGGCTGCAAGGATGATATACCTGCAGCGTATGCAAGCGTGGCGACGGCGCGTGATTGGATTGATCAGCAAATGTACAGCTTGGGCTATGGCACGACTTCTTATACACCGATTTAAATGCAAGAATATACATATGTACATATTTTTAGCAGACAGGCATACTCACACTTGCATACTTGAGAGATTATAAACTTTCGAAAAAATTATTAAAAATAAACGTAATGACTTTTATTCAGTTTATAACGTACCTACATACATGCATAAAAATTTACTCATGTATATATAAATATGTATGCTTTTTTATTATTTCTATACAAAACATAGAATGAAATGCACATAGCATTTGTATTGAATGATCAAATCCAGGTAATGCTTTTCAATCTGCTTTCAAATGGAACTCGAAATCCTGCTCTCTGCCATCGTTTGTGAAAATTCTTACATAAGAATGTTTTATGCCATATTTCCAGAATGCTATGTAAGGCAAGTAATAAAAGATTAGTGTATTCAACCAGATGCGGAAGTTGAGATACCAGCGCACAATGCCAAATTTGTGCAGATAGGTCACTAGGTAGAGGCCGTACGTTATGAGAAAACGATCATACCAGCCTAAATCGTAATAGTAGAGCTTTTGCTTCGCATCAGCCTGGCTACCGGGACGATGATCAAATTCAAAGTACTCATAACCTCGCACACAAGCCAGTCGTTTGGTAAAAAAAAGGACCGATCCGGTAGTGAGTGTCGTATTCAATGGCCACAAACCATCGATTAATGCCTTCGTCATTTGTTCAAAATCGGCGCTGGTATTCGCTAAGGCCGGCTCATATACACGTCGCATCACAATGTCCAGCCTTGATTTGGTCTCAGCCCAATTGCGCCCACAAATATTGTATTCATCTTTGATGCCGAGCAAGTAGCCGAGCACACGCCACATATGTGACGTACTCTCGAAATATTCCTCATCGTACAGCTGCACGCGTGGCGCACCCAAAGTGGCAAAGCCAATAAAACCGAACTGTGTTAGCGCAAGATCCTTTTGTGTTATTTGGCCTGCACCAAGTTTGTTACACGCGCGACTAGAATTTGAATGCGCTTTGCGTACAGCGCGTAGGCTAGTCCAAAATTTCGATTTGTCTCCCGCCGTTGGTGAGTAATCGTACCAGGCGTATGTGTGCAGAATTGTGCGTACGTAGCGTCGAAAAGCAGTGGCACAAGTGGATGACTGGCGTGTACATTGCAGTAAACGTAGTATGGACGGAATTGCGAGCACAGCGACCAGGCCGTAAAGCATGCCGGCGGTGATGAGGAAGCGATATTTGTTCATGTACGATTGGCCTCTGAAATGGAAGGAAAATACATATATGTATGTATTATACACAAACACTTTATTGGGTTTAATAAATTCATTGTTTTAATGTTAAAATAAATAAATGAAATATGTATTTGTTAAGAAAATAATTATTTCTAAGGCCTCCAGCAATGGATTATGCGCTGGGTTCGGAATGCGCTACCTAAAAACATTGTCCAATGAAAGCCCTTAGATGTCTCGAATGACGCTGACGACGGACGGACGGACAGACAGTCACCGCTTAATCGATTTCTCTTTTCATTCTGATCATTTATATATACATTTCTATATCTATCTGGATTCGTTTCTTTATAAGTGTTGGCAGCGAATATTTACACATTATTTGTGACCTGGTCTACGAAAAGGGAGCTTACGTGCGAAAACTAGTTTTCTGTGAAAAAGCTGTTAAAAGTAAGCAACTCGTTTCGTCAGTTTCTCATTATCTCGTTAATTGTTCTCCGCGCCGGACGTCCAGTAAGTGTTGTTGTTGGTCCAGTAAGTGTTGTTGTTGGTCCAGTAAGTGTTGTTGTTGGTCGGAATATTATTATAGTTCATCGTGTAAGTTGCTAGTGTGGAACATTTAAAAAAGTAACACTGAAGAAGTGACGTTTACTGTTTCTGTTGATTATCGTCTTCGCATTTCGCATGAAATGAAACATGAGTGTTGATGAGGAGTTCAGTGCCGTTCATATTTTTAGTACACTTCTAAGCAAGTTAGGATTTTCTGCTTTTCACCACGTGAAAAAGCATCTCATCTTCCATCCGAATCAACCAAAAAGTGAAAATTGATTTTTTGACACCTAAGCCCCCTTTCCGTAGACCAGGTCACATTTAACTTTAAAAGTAAAATTCAAATGTTTACGGCAAAACCACGATATTTTATCGGTTTTGTTATCGATTTTGTTATCGATATTTTTGTTGATTTTTTATCGGTTTTGTTAACGATATTTTTATAGATTCTTTATCGTTATTTTTATCGATTTTACTATCGATTGTGCTATCGATATTTTTATCGATACTTTTATCGGTTATGATATCAATATTTTAATCAATTTTGTTGTTGATTTTGATACCGATATTTTGATCGATTTTGTTATCGATATTTTTATCGATTTTGATTTTGAAATTTTTATCGATATTGTTATCGATTTTGCTATCTATATTTTTTTCGAAATTGTTATCGATAACTTTATCTGTTTTGTTATCTATGTTACTAACGATCTTGTTATCGATATACATGATGTGACATTATACGATAGAACATCACATGATGACATGACTTGACATCCTATCACGTCATTTCACATTATATCACATGGCATCTTATCACGTCATCGCACCTCACATCATCTAGGAGAATATATAGATGAAGAAAAGGATAAAAGCAAAGATAAAAACAAAGATGTAAGCTAGATATGTAATGTAAGTTTCACTTCTCCAGTGTGGGCCAGGCGCACTTACTTTTTTTTTACTATTAACTTACATGAATTAAATTAATGGTAAGATGTATTTTCTTTTTGAAATCCCAAACTTTTTTCAGCGACTCAGCCTCAGTTGTAGCTGCTGTGTATCAGATCAGGACGCATGATCGAATACGAACGACTTCACTATAATGCTTTTTGTACTGGGTGGCGCCGAATGAGCTATATGGTTTGAATTCTTTATAACAGTTTTTTTTTTACTCTATGCCAACGGGATCCACGACTGGAAATGACCTGCCAGCAGCGTTGCCGAATGCTTTTGCTGAAAAATCGTCATTTTACCTTGAAAAAATCGTAATTTCGGCCAAAAAAACCGAATCAGCTGTATGGTTTGAATTCTTTTTAAAAGTTTTCTTTGGGGATATTTGAAAGAAAGAGTGTACGTTAACAAACCAAGAACCATACTCCAACTCCAAACCAACATTCGAAATGAAATCGTGGCCATTACACCCAAAATTCTGCGAAAATATAGGGAAAATTTGTAGGGTTGTTCGACTTCACTAGAAAGTCGACTTTCGACTTTTCGATCGACTCTGTACAGTCGACTTTAAAAGTCGACCGATCCACGAAGAAAAGTCGACTTTGTTAGACTTTTTTCGACTTTTTTAATAAAAAGAAAATGTATTAAGTATACTCTGCATTTAACTCATATATTAGCTTTAAATATAGGAGTCAGAATACGCCAAAAATATCATGATTTACCAGTGGTCTTTAGAATAATCTGTAATAATCTGAAATTCAATGCTAGGTAAAAAAAACAAACACTAAAGGATTTTTAAAAATTTTGCAAATTGTTCCAGTTATACGGCATGAAAATTTTTGAAAAAAAAATTTTAATTCTCACAAAACAAAATTCTAAAAAATTTTTGAATCGATATTTGGTAATTACGGACAACTTTTTGAAAAATGTGGCCTTTCCGATGGAGCAGAATTGGCGGGTATTGGTAGAAATATAAGTGCCACTTTATAAGCATGGATAAATATGGGAGTAGCCCAGACAGCTAGTGGATTGGGACTATCCCCACGACTAATGTCGCATATTAACTGGAATCCTACCAGCAACGTTTTTAGCGGTGTTTAAAATTTTGTACCTTACGGATTGGTCAAATTCGAACCAAAGACTGTCTGTAAAAACTTACATAAACTCTAGCAGAAAAACTTTCTTGCATGAAATTGTTAAAATAAATATAATAATAATATAATATGTTTATCTTACATCATTATTAACTGAAGATTGTGGAGACAAACGATTAACAAATTTAAGGAATTTGTTTTCGTATAATAATTTTATGCGCTGCTCTTAAATGATTTGTACTGTTGTACTGTCATTAAAATTCTTTTCGCTACCACACTTTTCACATTTCACTTCAGTTTTATTGACCTTTTTTTTTTTTTAAATACGACCAAACAGCACCCCGCGAGCTTGTTGGAAGATCAGTTTTTATTGGCAAATAAATTAAAAAAAGTCGAGAGTCGAAAGGGAAAAGTCGACTTCAGTCTACTTCCATAAACTGAAAGGCGATCACTAAAATTCGACTTTCAGGAGTAAAAAGTCGATTTTGGTCGAAAGTCGAAGTCGACTTTGCCATCCCTAAAAATTTGCTAAGAAGAGCACGTATGTGCGAAGCAGAAAATGGACATCACTTACAGGATATCGGTTTTTCAAAGCTAATTGCAAAAAATTCCCCAATAATATACGGTATTTAAAAAAAAAAATTATAATCTTCGCATAAATATAAATAAAAAAGTTATAAACCATTTAAACCATATAGTTCATTCGGCGCCACCCTGTACTACACAAAGTCATTCATGCGAAGGCGGCCGTCTCTGAGCGTTAGTCATGGGGAATAGTCATGGAAGTTGTTATCCTCCGCAGATGAAAAGTGAGGTGGATACTATTAAAAATTTGCACTGCCTAGCGGCCTACATCGTATGTACATACATACATACATGATTTTCAAGACCGTAAATTTACAGGGAATGCTTGATTTGCAAGGCATTTAAGCGATTAGAAGATGCGTACATAAATTACAAATTTTAAAACAAGAATTATGGAATGAATTATTAAATACAAACGTACACATCTGTACATACACATACCAATACATATGTATTATTAGAAATCATAGTGGGTATTGTCTATGTCTCGAGGCAAAAATGTCAATAAAGTTTATGAGTTTTACACATTTTATGATACGACTGTAAATATGTATTAAGCAATACATTATGGGCGATGAATTTCAATTAAAAGATTATTTTATGTATCGTTAAAAAAATATTGAGTTAGATCGTGTGCTTCTTCTTAATTGTTTTATTATGCTTTCTGCATGAGACATAAAAAAGAAGTTAAAAATAATGAGATACATATGCATTTACGTTGATCGTAGCAAATATTTTTGAATAATTCGCAATGCATGTACACATACATTAGGGTGGAACAACATGTTTTTTTCAGCCAACCCCCAGAACTAAGAATATCGGACCAGATAAACAAATGCATATACATATGGAGTCCCTGCAAAGTTGCCTGTAACAGAGTTGTGAGTGGATTTTGAAAATTCTCGATTGGCCGTTGCGACTGCAATTCTCCGACGTTGCGCAGGTGGACGCATGTTCTTTATCTCACACAGGCGCATGCGGACAGACTTGGCTTCTCAGATGGAACGCACTCCAAGAACGCTTGAGGCGTATCACAACTTTTACCACAACGTGATCAATTTGGTTCTTGGCCTTTTGATCAGGGAACACCCAAGTTGTTTTATGGATATTTAGATGCTGGTGTTCTCGTGCAGACAACAGCACTCACTGTACTGTTTTCATATCCCTTTTAACCTCTCTTAAAACTGCACGATTTATGAATAAATCGAAGCAGATTTTTGGGTGTCAGAGAGCTTAGGGGTTCGTTCTTGCAAAGTAGGGGAAGTAGCGGAAAAAGTGTTCCACCGTATCATTCTCTTCAAGGCAGGTTGGGCAAATGGAGTTGTCATGTACACTTGTCCATAGCCAGGTGTTTGCGCCACGTGAAGGGACCAGTCATAAGTTCTACAAGTTGTCTGAAGCCTTCTGAGATCGAGGGCAAAATGAGTTATGCCCACCTGCAGCCCCTCGAACCCTTCCAGGGTATCAGACGTAAACTACTTTCTCAAGCTGAAAGACCGGGGAATATGTCTAAGAGGGGTATGTGAAGGTTGTCCCCATTATCTTCGATAAATTCCTTAAGTTTATCAAGCAGATTTTTCATGCTCCACCATACCACTGACTCTTAGCTAATTATGGGTCTGATCATAGAGGTAGACCCCACGTTTTGCCAAAGGACTATGTAAATTGCCGTCAATGCTTTTATGGTCTTGTGCTCCATGTGAGATTTCCACGATAGTTTTGAATCTAGTAATACTCCTAGATACTTCACTTCTGGAGAAGTCTGAATTGTTACTCTTTCTAGTGAAGAGCACAAAACTAGTTTTGGTTTGGTTAGCGGTTATCACATTTCCATTACACCACATTGTCGCGCTTTCCTGCAAACAGCGGACAGAGATGGGCCCGTGACTGGGTAGACAAATCGTCTACATAGGCTTTCGCGTAGATATCAGAATCATTAAGAGTGACAAGAAGGGAATGAATTATCAAACACCAGAGTGGAGAGCTGCCTGAATCCTGATGGCCCGAACGAATTTACTAGTACTCCATGTCGTGGAGTAGAATTGCACATGCTATCGAAGGTGCCATTGTCAACAGGCTCGGCACAGTGCTTCCTGCATTCTCCGTCTCCTTCGAAGGCGTAAGAATCACCTGATATCCAGGAAAGTGAGTCTCTAGAAGAGCAGAGAGAGTCCCAATCCTAGTTTGCGAGAAAGAGCCATCAGGCTTTCTGAGTGAACTCGGCTTTGTAGCTGGGCATTCTTCAGAACTTTTAACAGCCTAGCGGTTTGACCCAAGCTTTCAAGCAGCGCTTGTATGCTTTTCCTAGGCGCTAATAGACACGCTGCTTGGGATCATCGCCCTTCTCCTCCAAACGGACGTGCACCCAAATTAGGATGATATAATTGAATTTAGCTCTAAAACGGATCGTGGCAATTCGGTCACTCAAGGGACTATGCGATTATCTAGGGATTTTTTGTCCAGTTCATAAGATCTACACCGATCATTCGAACGTGTTAAATTAAACGGTTTCGGCTGTAGATTTGCAATAAAAACCTTATTTTCCGAAATGAGTTACCACCTCTTAAAAATTAAATAAATCAATTAATACAAAATGGGTATCAATCGAAAAGGTGTTTAGTGTTTTTTTCTTAACTTAACTATGGGAGGCTTAAAAACAAAAACAAAATCGATTTAAACTAAGGGAATTAGGTAAGAGAAATATGTATCGAAAACGAAACGAAAGGGGTTTCAGAAGGTAGTAGTTTGAAAATATTTTGAAGAGGGCTACCATCTGCTTGAACACTAAGAATATTTTAGATTTTTCAATTAATTAATATATGTATCGCAATGTTAGAAAAAGGAGTGATAACAAGGTTTTAGCTTGAAAATATTACCTTTGAAGAAGGCTGCCATCTGTTTCAAAGGTTTTATTTAATTAACTAATACAAAAGTTATAGGAAATATAAAATTTCGAGAGTCAAACGAAAGAGTATTAAGAAATCTTGAGTTTAAATATTTGGAAGGTTTTAAGAGTGTAATATAGCCGCTAACTTGGACAAGGAGGGGCTGCATGCAGGCATGCTTGCAGGCCCTGGCTAGCTCGTTAGTGGGGGGATGCAGACCTTCCTTGTCTTTAGCTATATTAACAAAAAAAAAATTTAATAATGCCTGATTTTGAGCAGTTGCAGTGTTACAAAAAGAATGCAAAACAAAAGAAAAACAGGACAAAAGAAATGTAAAGAAACGTAAAGAGAGACAGTCCGAGTCAGGTGGAGTCGCCCCAGGTGGAGTCGTCGCCTTCTGCGTGTACTCCACGAAGCCATGGACGCTGTTGCGAATCCTTCCTTTTAGCAGCGTTCCCTTTGCCTGACAAGTATCTATGTCGGTCAGTCCGTGACGGTCCTCTCCGTATCGGCATTACGCCAATCCCACTTCCCCTTGATCTCGCAAGCACAACACCCACACCAAAAATTAATAATCTATCACTCCATACCGCTGTTAAACCCTTCACCTATCGAAAAATACAAATCTTAGTTTCATAATACGTATTCACTTCTTTTCTTTATTTTATTTGCCTATATATGAGTAATTCAGAACTAATGCTATAACCTGAGAAAAATTTAACTTCTGAAACAAACTTTGGTATATGTATGTATTATTGAACTTTGCAATTCTATATATAAACAAATATAAGAAAAAGATTAAACAAAAAGAAAAAAAAAAAACGGAGAAACCCAATTTTTAGTATTCTTGATAAAAAAATTCAACTCGTAACCCCGGTTTAAATTAATGCATTCATTTTTGAAATTTGATGTAAATTAAAATTTAAATGCATTAATCCCGAAGAAATAACGCTAATGATTTTTTTTTTGCATTGGATTAGCATTATATTTTTCAGAATTAGTGCATTGAAATTTTTATTTGCAATAAATTTCAAAAATTAATGCATTAATTTTTTACATTTAAGTTCGTGCTTTAAATACTATTAATGCATTCAAAAATTAATGCATTTTTCACAACTCTGGCACGTGCACATATGAACAAACAACTTATTATGTTCACCCAACAAAGCCTTAGGTCAGTGTCCTACATATATATGTATATTAGGGCGGGTTGATTTGTATGGATGAAAAAAAATATATAAAAATCGTATAGCAAAAACGCAATCTACATTAAAATCAAACCCCAATCCGCGCCTCTCGACTTGAAAATTTTTTTCCTCTTCTTTCGCTAAAATTATATTCTTTTTTTGAAATATATTATGTTTTATTATATTGTATTATAGTTTATGCAATACAGCTTTTGTTTTGAGACTAATCAAAATATTCAATTATCAAAAAAGCAGTTGAACCCCAATTTGCATCTCCTCTGATTTGCGTTCTATATAAAAAAGAGTTAGAACACGTTTCACCTAAACTGCGTTTTGCATAAAACAAAGAATAATTAAAATAAAAAATAGTTTTTTTTTTTTTAATAAAATAGGCAAAACAAACTTCTTAAAACAGAAAAAAACATGATGCTCTAATCCAGTTTATCTCATCAAATTGTTCTCTTGAATTTTGGCTTTTTTTTTCGTTTAAGTGCGTAAGATACCGTTACCTCAGCTTTGCTTATTTGCTGCTTTGGTTATTTTATAAATACTGAAAACAATTTTTTGAGTGCAAGTTTTTTTTTATTTTGCATTTCCGATATTTTTTATTAAATTATGAAAGACATTTTTTTATCTATGTTCCTTATAAAAATATTAAATATAAAATTATATACAAACTTTTTTACTTGGGTGAATATTTCTTTTAATGAAAAAAAATTTTGAGTGTAGAAAACATATAAAGTGCAAAAGAACTACCTTACTAAACAATTTTATTTAGAAAATTCGATTTCTTTTTGGAAAAACCAATTTTTTCTAACATTTATTTTTTTGGCAAAGGCGGCCATATAAATTTCCAAGTCGAGAGGCGCGGATTAGGATTTTATTTTAGATACATGGTTTCTTCGGAGAATTTTCTTAGAATTTTATGTAGTTTACGTTTTTGCTATACGATTAAAAAAAAAATATCAACCCGCCCTAATGTATATAGTAGCATGTTCATATATGAATAACATATGTACATACACTTCATTGTGCAAATGGATATATGTACATATGTGCATATTAAAGCAATCGTGTACATACATAGGTACATACATATGTAGGGTATAATGAAGTGGTTGAATGCACTTACCTGGTTACTGCAGGGGGAGAGCTTAAGTTATTAAAGTAAGGGTTCCATTGATATGATGATCTTTGTCACCGCGATCACAAAGTTAACAATAAAATTAACAATAAAATAAGGAAAAAAATGTGCAAGACAAAAAAATAAAAGAAAATTATGAAAAGGAATAGTTAGAGGGGCGATTCCACCGTCACGGTGACACATTTTTACAGAAGCAAATTTTTTTCTTGTTTAAATTTAAGTACAAAGTCTTCAACAGTTCTACATTTTTATAAGACTACAACTAATTGGTTATTATAAGAGTTATTACAAAATACGAAAAAAATTCCAGCTAACTTGTATATGTAAAAAACTTGAGTTATTTTTTCTGTCACGGGTGGGACAAAAAAAGAACCTGCTTTTAGGAGCAGATATATTTTACCGAAAGCCTGCGAATTTACTTCACTTTTCTGTTTGAACTTGATGCCTTATAATAAAACAAAGAACCACGAATTCAAACAAAACAAAATCCACCATAAAAATTATTGTTTTATTATAAAAAAGATTCGAAATTCCTCTGTCACGGGTAGGACAACGTTTGTCACGCGTGGGACACGTACAAATTTTTATATGAAAAGGAGCTTTTAGTGTGGTCCATATTAAAGATTCGTTTTTTAAAATGTACGAAGCCAAGTTGAGGCTCAATTCACTCACGTTTTATCTTAGGATAAGTGCCTTTTATATAAAAGAAAATTCTAAGCACCGTCAGCCAAATTAATTATTAAAAATCACGCGATTTCCTAGCGTCTTGAAATTTTCACTTTTACCTGCTTAAATTTAATGGACTACAAAACTGCATATCTACCTAAAACAAAAAGTTTAAAATTTTTGGGCGTAATTGTTGAATTATTATAATTTTTGTAAAAAGTTTCAAATGTAGATTTATGTGGTTCTGGTTAGGTAATGTGCGTCTGTTTTATAAAAAAAAACTATATCATTAGATTAACAAAATAAAAAACCAAAACTGGTCAAAATGTAGTTTAACTTAATCAGCTGACCACAACGGTATATAGATAATGGACGAGTCCGCGCATCCCCCCTCCTCCCCTGCGTCCACCTCAATAAACAAATAAAACTTATCAGCCCTGTAAACCTACCTCTGACAACTGTCCCACACATAGCTGTCACGGGTGGGACATTCTTCTCTGTTGAATTATTCTTATCTAGCTACGACAATACAATTGTGGCAAATATTTGCAATGAATTTTTAACATTATGTAACAAACACGAATTATGTAATTAAATATAACAACTTTTAGCTTTTTTTTTGTCACGGGTGGGACAAGACCAATACTGCTTAATAATAACTCGTAATATAGATAAAGCAATCACACAATTTAAAATATAACACAATTTTATTAAAAGCAGATGAATTTTACTATATATTTTTCTTACCAAACACTTGAATTATGAATCGCAAATTATTTGACACAACCTACTTTAAACTCAATCATAAAATTTTCGTAGAACTTGATTTCAAAACGTAACAAAAAAGTAATAGAAATGCATTTAAAGCCTTAATTTGTTATTTTTTGGTTGATTCCAGATTTTTACAAATGTCTTATCCACACGTTTGTTAGTATTATAAAGAAAATAATTTTTGCACCGAGGTTCACTTGCCCATATGTTTAAATGCATTCAGATTTCGGGATTTCAGTAATCACAATTTTCCTTATATTTTGGCATCTCTAGTACTTACATACATGTAAATCACAGTATGGATGTCAGACGAAAGAGTTTATGAAAGCTTTAGTTTGAAAATATTTTGAAGAGAGGTACCACCTCCCTAAAACGTCGAATTTAGTTAACTTATAGTCAAGTTTTATGAAAGCTTTAGTTTGAAAATATCTTTGATTAGTGGCCACCTTTTCGAGAAGTTATATCGATCTAATTAAGTATATATGTATGCATATTATTAGAGGCACTTTTTGCGATGTTAATTAGATTTCCACCGTTCTTTCGAACTTCAAAAATGATTGGTCAAATTAAATACATACCCTCAGCCTGTAGATATGTGATAAAGTTTTATTTTTAACTAAGAACTTTTCTAGTCTCATCCCCTCAACCGGTAATACCACGGTCACAAATATCACATATAAATTTTTATAGGGTAATCTGAACTTTGACCCCTGTGCAACATGCCTTAACCGACTCCAATAGGGGCCAAAATTTATGTCTGATATCTTCGACGATAGTATTATCCACGTAGGGGTTGAGGCTTGGGAAATCTGATGTAAAAATTTGCTTCCTACATTTAAGGACCACCCTAATGTATATATATTTGCATTTACACAATTCCACAGTCTCTTAAAATAAACAAACTACTTTGGTTGAATAAGTCTATATCAGCACAGCATTAGCCATAGCAGGGGAAACCGCTTATCAAGGCCTCCTAATCATTTTATTTACAAATCAAGCCAAGCGCGAAAACCTGCTACAAGTGAAATCTCATTTTCACATAGACGCGCATGTACACTCACGTAAGCGTACTTATATATGTATGTACCCTGTCGGGAATTTCGTAGACGAGAACTAAAATAGCCAACTTTTGGCCAACTTATTACGGCTAACTTTTAATTGGTTTCAAAGTCATGCAGGGCCCAGTTGAGGGGATATGTATGTATGCATCTATGTAAAATTGTTTCACAATTTTCAACTTCGACAAAAAACTTGTTTTCAAAAACAAAAAATTTAAAACAATTTTCTATATACTAATTTCTAAAAGTAATTTTTCTGTTACCAAACGATATCGCCTTTAATATTTTATAAAATTTAATGAATGATATCTCATTTTGAATTGGAGAAGCTCACGTATATGCGAAAAAAGTGACGTTTTTCAAATTTTGTACATAATTTATTAAAAAAGGGTTTTTAAAAAGCTGAAAGCACGTTATGCGGTCAATATCTTCCATAAAACTGCATCAAATTGAATGACTAAAACACCGTTCTGAAGGACCGATTGAGGTAAAAAATTAAAACTTTTAATAGGGTTGCCGCCCGCTTAAAATTTGAGTGCTTTAAATATATATCGAGTCAAATATTGCAACTCATTCAGGGAATGGAACGCATTTAAATGCACTCTTAACCAGAAGTAATAATTTGGAAGAGGGTTGCCAACTATATAAAAATTTAAATCTCTATATAGAAGTATAAAATAAAGGTGTTTGCGTAATAGCGAGCATAGCTCTAGAATGAATTGCCATATTTGAGCTGTCTTTTTTTGTGTTTGTCTCTGCTCAGGGAATATTGAAAAAATTTCCCGAATAGAAAATTCCGCACAAAAATCTCAAAGTCTGGTACATAAACTAACTTCGACAATTTTTACGCGATTGCAATAAATGAGCTATCAGTTTATTTAAGAATAGATTTAACTTTAGATAGTAGTACATATTTTGCAATTGTGGAAATTATCGATGGCCAAAATTTAAAAAATTAAGAGAAATATGTTTTTTTTTTTATTTTACCCTCATCTAAGATCATATTCGATCTTTGAAATCGAATCCAAAATAGTCATTCAAAAACTCACAAATCTACAAAATCGTGTTTTCTGACCTAAATCGATAGGTTGCGACCTCTAGATGACCTTTAAAAATCTAGTGAGTAGGCAATAATATTTCTCATAAAAACGAATAACATTAGGAGATAGGGTCTTGAAATATCAAAAAAAAAAACATTTTCGATGGGCACCCTAATGTATATGTATGTTAATACCACATCTTTAGACTAAACTAACTAAATAGTTATCATGGAGATAATAGTTAACCTAAAATAGATAAATATACAAATCAACGACACCAAAAACATTCTATTAATTGGCACACTACAAGTGAAGTTATTAATAACCGATTTGTAGTTAGCTGAAAACAAGCTGTCTTTTTTTGCGACATGAACATGTAAAAGTAGTCAGTTGAATGCAACGTAAAGTAGTCGAGGCGTAGTCACCCTTAGTAGAAAAATAGTGAACATATAGTGCATTTATAGTTAGTTGAGTTCCCTACAGGGTATGTAGCCCGTTTGTTGTTGAATAGTAGTAGGTAAAAATCTAAATTCTAAAATGAAAAACTTGTTTCGGTTTGACACAAACTGATCAAACAAGTGTGAACATATTTTATACATATATATTTATAGTAGATTGTTTCGTTAGATGAAAACTGGCAAGCTAAAGCAAGCGCTTTTTCTATGCATTTTACTCTCAAAATGCATAAGCTAAAGTCTATTTTCCCATGAAAACACCCAAAATGTTCTTTTTGCAGATTTGCGGAAATAAAAATTGCAAGGTGTAACTTCAACTGAAACAACGCAAATCGCTTTCTGGAAATTGAAATTCATTTGCCCAAACAATCGAGTGAAGCCGTTTTTATCGAATTTGTATGAAATTATAAACATTTTGTTTAAAATATTAACAATATTTCAATTAATTTTTTCTCCTGATATGCGGTAGATATTTAAATATTAATTTATCCAACATTTTGTGACCGCACAAAGCCATTTTAGCATTAAATAAAAAAATTCTGATCAGTTATTTTGTTATAGACAGTAGACAGTGTATAGAAATAGAAAGTGGAATTTTTTGCATTCACCGTGTAAACAGACCAAAAGTAATTTCGGAAAGTTCGATTTTCGAAAATAAAAACTGCTTTCGAAAGTCGCTTTACATGCAAGTTGTAACTACTGCTTCAATCACTTTTGCAAATTCTTGAAACTTTCCAAAACTACTTCGCACTTGTCACGTCTAACGGCTACTGTACACTATTTAAAAAATAAAAGGCGTGAGTACCAGGTACTCATGAAATTTGATCTGTCAACATTTATGACCAAACATTTATGACCAAATGACCCCTGAAAAAGTCCTGAAATGATGCCGAGCTGATCTCGAACTAGTACCAAAATGGTCCCGAAAAGTCCTGAACTACTTCCGAAATGGTCCCGAATCACGTATGTACATATCGCACACGATCTTCAAAAGTGGGACAACTCAAAACTTGGCATTTTTGAAACTATGCACTAAAAATGTACACAGAGCTTTTATTTACCTTTCACTAAGAGCTGGAGAAATTTGTTGAAAAAACCTAAGGTAAATTCTCCCTTGCACATATAATTAGCATGTGCTAAGAAATAGTTTTTCGCATTTTCTGACAAACGTGTAATTTTAAGTTGTGTCACCTTTGAAGATGGTGTGCGATATGTATACCAACGAACAGAGTTGCTAGAGCAGCTAATTACATTTGCTTTCATTTATACTACATCGGAATTTATCTTAGTTTACGAGTAACGGTTTACGCAAATTTATCTGTCAGGAGCAAAGATGTTTATAAATCAAAAACATTTCACGAGTTAAGGCATTCTTTGGGTAAACAACACCGCACATTGTTAAGCAAATTTTTGCTTGCTTTAATTTTACACTCGCATTGTACTCACTTTTTGAATAGGTTCTCATCGTACCATGGCGGCATTTCTATTGGCGCCCCACTGTCTCCCTCTAACGCACCATCGCGCAGTAAATGATCCAAATAGGCTTGTGCATCTGCAGCTTCTATATCACCCGATTTATCAAATTGAAATGTGTCATTACGTTTACCAACGTCATCATCACTACTTTTATCCCCACTGGCGCGTCTCATTGCATTCGCTTCAACTGTAAAAATCAAAATGAAGGGAAATGACTAGCTTCATGAAAAATTAAATGATACGAAATTACTTTAAACAGCATAAGCGAAAATCCACTAGTATTAATATGTAAATATGTAAGTACACATGTACTTTAGGGTGGTCCCAAAACAGTAAAGTCGGATTTGTAATGCTCTCACATCCTAGGATTGTTCTATATCGACGGACCTATAAATTATAGTTGCGATGAAAAAATGGTTAAATAAACAATTGGGTATTATTATTGGGAATCTCCTCGCAGTTAAACAGAGTTTTCCGATAGAAAAATATTGATTCTTAAGAGTTATTTACCATTTCTACAAAAATTTGCTTTTCCCCATATAAAATACATGGAAAACTGTAGGCGCTTTGAGCGACCTCTAAACATTTTTTATTTCAAAATAAAGAAATAGTGATATATTTTTTTTTTTGCTATAGCACAAACCTAGGGGTGAGCGCATAAAAGTTCCGACTTTACTTTTTCACATGCATTTTTGGACCACCCTAATGTACATACATATATGTATGTTGAGTTAGATATGCCGCTTCACAGGTGGAACACGCTAATTGAACATACATACATATGTTGTACATAGTTAACAAACAAAAACAAAACAAAGTCTGTCGCGTGTAAACAAAGCTCATCTTGGCGAGAGGTGTGCAGCCAGAGCGGTGTTGTATTAGCCGGTTGCGTGTAGAGCACAATAAACAAATGCACTATGTCGAAGTCTAAAAAATTAATATGTGAAGTAAGTCATTTGGTATAACGCGACGCAACAAGAGATAGATACTACTCCAGCTGCACGAATTCATTTGGAGAAAGCGCTTTTGCCACTCTGCAGGTGCCAGTTTGCCCTTTTGTTTTCTTTTACCTTCTTCTACTCTTGCATTTATGTATGTATGTATGTACATATGTATTACGTACCCGCACATTCCGAATCGCCTTCTGTCCGACTATCCCTTTCTTTTGCCACATCCGCATCCATAATAACTTTACACTATTCAATTTTAGTAAAAATTATAAACTATCTATAGACCGTATGAATATTTATGTATTAAAAACTAAACTTCTTGTTCTGTTGCCTTTCGCTTTTTTCAACCATTCGCCAGCCCGAACACGTCCATTCTATTGAACAGCTCTTTGAAAATTATGTGATTCAATCGCCACTCTTCGTGTTATTTATCTTTCTTGTAATATTTTAGTAGTTGGCTTTATTTGCTATTCACTAAATGTAATGAGCACATCCGCTGCCGTCCATGGGAGAGTAGAGAAACTTGTAAAATTCGATATTGTTGACAGCCCGCTGGCAACATTGCCTCGCAACGTCCCATCGCATCAAACTTGTTTGCTATGTTTTTGTTCGGTTTTGTGGACGTGAGGGATGCCCTACATACTGAAGTATTGCAGTCTCAGTCTTGCCAATGTCAGACAATCACACATAATGTGCTCCGACGTCGCATCCTCTTCAAGACAAATACGGCAATCAGTCTCTGTGGATAGATTAATCCGGTACATGGGAAAGCGCTGCTGATTAAGACCGGTTAGGTAACTAATAAGTAACTTCGTGTTGGCTTTATTCAACCGATTTATATCTTTCCTAGCAAAATTATATCCAAAATCCTCTATAACGCGTTATCTTCCCAGTACTGACTCCATTCAGAGTTTGCCCATGCTTCGATTATGAGCCGGCAAAATCGTTGGCGACTTCGTTATCTTCGATGCCGCAGTGTCGTGGTACCCAGCATAGTAATACCGTGTTCCTTGCTGCCAAGTATTGGATTGGATTGGATTGGTCGCCTGGCTATCTGAAAATCAGGGTTGCGTGATTTATAATACGAGAGACCTATTTTATTTGTTATTTGATTCGTCGATCAAATAAGAACTTAAATTTATTTTTGATTTGATTTGTTGGACAAATAAAATTTACTGGTTATTTTATTTTTGCACGACAAATAAAAATAAAATTATAATTCGTCGGACAAATAAAAAAACTAAAATTTGTTTGTGATTTGAGTTGCCGGACAATCCAAATAAAAATAAATATTATTTGTGATTTGATTTGTATTGAAAAACCTCGAAAATCGTACTTGCTTTACATAAAATAAGTATTTTTTTGTTGGGAAAAAACGAATCAAATTAATTGGCTCGACAAATAAATTATTTTTTTATTTTTCCAAAGAATTAAATCACAAATAAATTGTACTTTTTATTTGTCCGATGAATAAATTCACAAATTGATTTTAATTTTTATTTGTCGTATGAATCAAATCACAAATTAATTATATTTTTAAATTGTCTGATGAATCAAATCCCAAATAAATTTTTTTTTTTAATTCGCCGAGGAATTAAATCACAAATAAATTTTTTTCATGAATTGATTCTTTCAACAGGTAGTAAACTTATCGCCGCTGGTAGATTTTTCCGACAGGGTGCTAGGATGATTTATTTTCGAACGAATATCCGTCATCCCTTGCCAAGTTTGGTTTCGAGATAAACCGGTTTCGGCGTTGTGCCATCTTCAGTGTAATTTTTCGTTCAGTCTGTCCAAAATAAGTCATAATTATTTTATATTATTTAAGATTTGACACAACTATCAATTTGAAATACATTTGGTTTTTGGATTTATGATGTGACTAACAAAAACACGCAACCAAGGCAGAAATTGATATTGCTAGTACCTCCCCCTGAAAGATCGTGGATCAAATACCCAATGAAATCGCAAGTTCAGTGCCAGGCAGGGATGAAAAAGTAGGTACAATTGTACCTTTTTTCGACGTTTGATGACTTAAAGGTACATTAGGTACCGTCACTAGATTTTGGGTACAATCATTTTTTGATCAGATGCATTTTTAGTTTTTTCTTTCTTTTTCCTTTACCGTGCTAATAAATTTACTTGTAGGCACGGGAGAAGCTCCGCTTTCATTTTGAAGGAAAAACAATTCTAAAGAAAAGTGGTCAAAAGGAAGAATGTAAAAAACGTCATTCTATGTATTATCTTAAACATCTTACATTGCATTTAGAGCAACCACTACGAAAAATTAACACTTTACTTAGCTATCCTCAAATTCATAATTTTTTTCTATTAATCTTAACGCTTGTTTTCACTAAGCCAAATTCAATGGCATATGCGGTCAAATTAGTGAAAACAAATTGTCAAATGAGACTAGAAAATGGTATTTTGATTGATTTAGATCAGAATAGGCCTTCAGGCGTGTACATGCGCTGCTAAAGCGGCTATTTGTAAGTTTTTGGCCCTTAATATCATCGATAAAGGTAAGACTAAAGGAAAGAAAGTTGTATCAAAATATGTCAACAAATTTTGTTGTCAAAATATGACATAATGAAAACCCATACAGTCCAGTGTCTAGGATGTCTTCAAATTTCTTATTTTCTTTAGATGAGAACTATAGCTATTTAACCCATATTCGCTTTTGGATTTCTGGATTTCTTTCGAAGTTACTTACGGCAATTTGATTATTTTCTCGGATAAATTAGCAGACTTTTCCTGTTGTTTTATGAAAAGCTGGATAAAGTATCTATAGATATAGGCTCAGTTAAAAAAAACCTAATCATGTTTAAAGTATGTACATCCATCTATTGTATTCATGTTTTAAATAAAATGTATTAAAAAAACTACAATTGAATGATGTAACTTTTTTAGGTACATCCTGTCTCACTTAGGTACATTTATTTTATGAAGTTAGGTACAATCTGTAATTTCCATTTTTCATCCCTGGTGCCAGGTCTAAAGGCATCCGTACCTGCTCTGCCCTCCATCTTTCATCTGTACCAGTTTACTTACCTGGAATTGCGTTCCAAAAAAGATTTCATTTAGCGACGACTTCAATGTATTTAAATTTATTTCTAAATTTTACTTATTAGGGGTTGTCTATTTTTATCCGCGCACACTATAATCGACTACTTGAAAAGTGGATTCGAAGAAAAGCTCATTTTAGTACCGCGAAACAATTCTTGGAACTGTTAGTTTTTTTTTGCAAATACTATTGACTTCCCATAAAAAACAAAACAAATGATGCTCATCTTGGTACCTAAAGCTCCGTTTCCCGTCTGTAAAAATATTTCTGCCGCTCGAATTAAATCTTCTTCAATAAATAAATATGTATACGATCATTACGAATTATACACATTTTTACAGAAGAAAACCTCATTTACATTTCTTGGTCGTTTTTTTATGATTTTTTTTTTTAAATAGTTAAAACTATTCAAACATTAAAACCAGCTCAAAATTCGTTACCCACATAAACAACTCACATACATAAGTAGATACATACATGCATACCGCATACCTACCATATATTACAACACTAACCGAATTCGGAGCAAACATGTTTATATTAAATTCGGTTTGAATCGAGCATTAAACATCATCGAACCTAATGCGCTGAAAGCTATGCTACAAACATTTGTTGCAACAAAAAGCGATACAGTGAATCAATACAGCAATTGTTGTTCTTATCTGTTAGAATTTATTTTTATTAATTTTTATTAATTTCATAATTTGCAATATAATTAATGTTAGATTTATTTACTATAAATATTTTGCTATATTTAATAATAGTATAATTTATGTTTATCAATAGCTTTTATTACAATTTATTTATTTATCATTGCTGTACTATGGCAGAGTGTTTATGTAAGTATGTTTTATAATATGTAAGTTTATTTGTGTGATAACAATTCCAGTTACAGCAGGCGTTACAGCTTTTTAGGCAGCGGTGATTTATGAAATCTTAGTAGTGTGAATAAATTATAAAAGTGAAAACAAGACAACATACCTATGTAGTGAAAAAATGAAATAGTAAAAAAGCATTACATATAAACTATATACTATATGTAGATGTACTCTTATTAGTTAATTTAATAATTTAATTATATTTTTTGTAAAAATAAAACGCGGCAACACAGGCGAAATGTTGTATCATAATTTATACAAAAAATTAACTGGCGTAAAAAGTTTGTAAATGTTATGTTAGTTGTTAGTCTTAAAAAATACTTTTATTTTATTTTATTTATTTTTTTTAAATTTGGTTGTTGGGTGAAGCATGAAATCATATTTTGCTGACAACTATTCGATACTAACGTCCGATTTAGATCGCTTCTTCACTTCACGTAGTCTAGCCTGGTAACTTTTAAACAAGACCGGGACAGTTTGGTCTTCAGGGAGTAGTAGTTCGCAGTGAACGAAGCTACGAAATGCCTTTTAATGGCGCCAGAACAGGCAATTAACGACATTCACAGGCAGACTACCACAATCTCCATCAACTCATGCCCTCAACGAAGTTCAATCACATCCTTCATATTGCTGGGAAGTAACTTCAGCTACCTTGAGAGACCCTGGTCTGTGTGGTGTCTGGCACAATTACACTCTGGATGCTATTTCAGATTAGGCTCCTACCTCTCCAGACTTGACGCTGTAGTATGCAACATATGTTCCGTACTGTTATACAGAGTCCATCATAGCCAGTATGACATTACCATCCCTTCATAGGACCCCTTAAACCCACTCAACTAACCACACTCTTCCTTTGCTCCACACTAAACCCCAATTGATCCCCGTATCGAAAAAGCGCTGGCGCCTAAGGACCTTACGCTAGATACGTTTCTAGTTATCGAAGAAGCGTTTGATAATGTACTCCCAGAAGTGATCGCAAAGTCACTGCCTCTTGTTGGGCTAAAGCGACCGCTGGTGGACTTTGGACATCACTAGATAAGTCGCTATTTATTTCTAACTCTCGGCATGCGTTCAACTCAATGGTGTGCTGCCCACTACGCCTTCTACAGCCCTAGAAAGCTCACTTGAACTTTCTGCCAGAAAACCTTTTTTGGGAAATTTCAGACAAGCTGTAATGCTTTAGGACTAAATGCATTAAAATAATGGAAATACTTTAATTTCGGTGGCATCTGTACTCTAACGAATTACCCTAACATTACCCACTTCAAGGACGAAATGAGAAATCTGGCCAAGCTTCGACAAGAGACGCTCATGCCAACTCATTCATCTAGGACCTCCTCTACTTAAGAAAGCGAACGGAATTATATCTTCTTAATAGGGCTGATCTCACCATTATCTACACCTGGAAGGCACCCATGCACCTAAACGCCGGTAGCCACTTCAACCCCTTACCTAATCTAATGTAGTTTTAAAGACGGTACAATAGCCAGCTAGCTAGTAATTAGATAGGATTTATGTCCAGCAAATTCTACTGTCCAAAGTCTGGAGCAGGCATTTATCACTCTTATTAAATTCTGCACAATAAAGTTTTTTCCTAAGGCTTCTCTAAGGCTGAGCTACAAAAAATCTAGGGAACCAAATCGGTAAAGTACTGGTGAAAAAAATTGCCAACAAACCGATCAGGAACCAGGGACCTCAGCGCAGCATTTTCCAGCTTATTAAAAGAAGCTATAGAGAAATCTTCGCTTATTGGGCCCCACTTCACTGTTGCCAGTCATAAATTTGAAGTAGTGAAGGCCTACATATGTCTACTTACAATTCAGCAGGAAGATCAACAATAACGCGAAGATCACTCTTCCGGCGAACAAAGCCTACACGTTTGAAGTCTCGTCATGCCCGTGTTTTTTTTTTTGTATGGCGCTGAAACGTGAACGAAGTCGAACATAGATGAGAAGGCCTTACTACATTTCGAGAGATCTATTCTTATTCTATAGCCCTGTTTACATGGGCGACGAAAATGAAATGGGTACATTTAGTTGAACGCATAGAAACGTATGAATGGCGACGCTCCAGTGAAAGGATCCTTCGAAAGCAAGGGCGCCAAGCGTCAAGAACAAAACGGAAAGGTCTACTGCAGAAGGAACCGCCTGCACGCGGGATGATGTACTAGCGCAAGTTTACGAAGAAAACAGCCGATTTGGAAATAAGAAAATCAGTCCTAAATACCTATCAATCCCAAAAATTATTAATTTAATATTTTTGGAATAATATGTATATGTAAATACTAGTGTTGGGAAGTACAGAGTTTTTTTGAGAATCGAGTTCTTTGGTATCGATACTTTTAAGGATCGAGTATTTTTCAGAGTACTGACTACTTTCTTTAAATATACACATATTGGTAACATTTCAGTGGACAAATCTCACAAACTGGCAGTATTTTATTCAAATTAATATATGAATCCCAAATTACGTCACTGGGTAGTTGAAAATTATTGAAACTGCAAATTGAGTACAATCCTTTCTTAATACCGTTGAATGTAAATAAAACTCAGTACTTTTTGAGTCTATTCGACACTTAATACTGAGTACTTTGAATCGATCTTGAGTACATGTATCAAAGCCATTATTGCAACACAGTATTTATGAGTACTGAGTACTTTTGGGTTCCTTTTTTGAGTACTAAGTGCTTTCGAGTTCTTTTGTGAGTACTGAGTTCTTTGGAGTACTCAGTATCGATACTTTTAAAAATCGGTTGCTGTCGATACTTTTGAGAATCGAGTTCTGAGTACTTTTGCCCAACACTAGTAAATACAAATGGGTTGATCCATGCCAAATCGACAAATGGTTGGAATTGACCATTTCCGATGTGGATGAATTTTGGCCAGAACTTTTTTTATCATATAACACAGTTCGGCAAAAAGAAAAAAAAAAATTGAAAGTCCAAAATTTCACAATTTCTCAAAAACTAGTGCAGCTACAAAAATGGTTCTGGCCTCTTTTTAAAGGTATTTGGGGCGATATAAAAAATACATTTAAATTAAAAAAAAAATAGAAAAACTATAAATTTTTAAAATTTAATAAATCGTAAAAGTTAATTTTAAAAATTGTTGGTAAATTTTTTGCATGTAATAACTTCCAGTGGTCTGAAAAGATCTTAAAATTTTCCATACATATATATGAATTGAACTTAAAAAAAAATTATTTTATTTTATATTTTTAAAAGTATGAATGTTTGAATAAAAAACAAATTGTTGCAAACTCCAAATTACTAATAAATTAAAATAAAATAAACACATTTTAACGTAACTTTATTTAGACTTTGTAATTTTTTTAAGATCAAAAATTCATATCTTTAAAAAACCACTCCGTGAAAATTTTAAGCCCAGTGCGAGGTATTGTAAAAAATGGAGCCACAATATTTTTTTTATAAAATTTGGATTTAAAGATTTTTAGTTTCAAAATTTTGTAATTTTTTTTTACCGGAAGCATTTTTAAGGTATAATAGTTTTTGAGATATTCACAGTAAATTTGCAAAATCCACGAAATTGTGAAATTTTTAACTATATGTTTTTTGAGTTTTTTTTTTTAATTATCCCAAATATCATCATTAAAATGAAGCCAACTATAATAGTTGTTGCGATGGTCAAAAAATAAACTTGCCAAATCTAAGAAATTTTTAAATTTCTAATTTTTAAATTTCGAAAAAACTATATGTTAAAAGAAAAGTGCTGGCCAAAATTCATCCAAATCGAAAATGGTCGATTTGAGATAAATTGACTCATATATACATTCAAAAAAAAAAAACTTTCAACCCATTTCTGAAAATTAAGGGAGAGTTTCAATGATTTTCTCGTCTTAATCATAGTTTTAGCAAAGTTTTTTTTGTCAAATTTACGCTGCGTATTTTAAGCTTGTGTAATATTTTTTTTTGTTTCCTTTTTTATCAAATGCTGTTTTTGCGCATGCAAATTTTCATTTATATTTATCTACATAATATATTTATGATTTTTTATTGAATATACTCTCGTTAAACTAATGCATATTTTTTATTTTTTTTTTGGTAAATTTGACTTATCATAAATTTCGAATTATAAATCATATTTTCTTACTAATAACACAATCAATACCTTTAGCCAACTTCAATAGCTGCTCACAGTTTTTATATTTTTCAGCTTATAAATTTGTAAACATTTACATGTAAAACAATTAATTATGTTAGTATTTTTCCTTAGGCTTATTGTTAATCTACTAAAACAGTCTTATTAAAAACAAAAACTAAACATTATAATATTATACATTTACTTTCACTTGAACTTTATATGTATTAGGATAAATAGATTTTGTTTTTAAATCACTTGCAGTTCTTACTGATTATTTTTCAAGTTTAGCGCAGCTGATTTTAATATTGCTTATGATTTACTATTGGCTTACACAAAAAGAACAATTTTTTGCCTTAACTCATATATTCATTCTATATAAATTTCACGTGATCTTTTTTCTCAGATTTTTTTATCTAAGCAATTTTAGAGATTTCTCATTAACTATTTAGTAAATTACAAAAATTCACTCTAATGAAATTACAGCCGAAAATCGAAAACTCGGATTTAACATTTCTAAAGTGGGTTCGTTAAACAGATAATTATGGAAACTTGTCCGGATTTGGCGTGCGAGTGCACAGCAACTACTTCGAAAGAGAGTCTTTAGAGCTTAAAACCACACCTGTGCGCTTTGAAAGAAGTTGCAAAGCCCTACTGAAAAACATGAACATGAACAGACCCTGCAGTGAAAGGCTGGCTAGCTCGTAAACTGGTTAGGGCTGCAGTGAAGGCTGACCAGCTTCACAGTTTTGAATAACTTACGAACCGGCGCTCTAGGGACAACAAGTCTCAGAGACTTAGATTCCAGCTACTAGGTCTGAAATCATAGGTTCGTGTAAATGCACTTGCGAGGTTTTAAAAACTTTCAAAAGAAAAAAAAACGTAAGTTACGATGTAAGAAAGCGATTTCCGAACAAAAGGATTATAAGTTTTAGTACTTAAGATTAACTAAGTAAACAAATTAAAGATAAATATAAATATATAACTGCTAGTAATCTGGTTCAGAATTAGTAGCCTTCACTGCAGGAGACTTACTCCGTACATGTATTTTCATCTGTGGTTTAAATACCTATTCAATTTGTAGCTGTAATTACATACATTAGGGTGTACAAGAATATCTTTTTTTTGGTGAAATTCGATGTGCATACCATATTTACTTTTTATCATCTGATCTAAATCATGTTGATATTGAAATTTTTTCTATGAAGTTATGCTGAGACTGTAGTAGTCGACTATATTCTTCAGTATAAAAAAGTTCGTACTAACAGCGTACTAACCCGAGAGAACTCTGCTTCTCAGTTGGCTATTTAGTTAAAAGTACAACTGGTTGGCAAGATATACTTTTGCTTTCACTTGATTTTAAAAGGAACAATTTCAGCGTGAATTTATATTTTCGATTTAGAAATGAAACCTTAAACAAATCCAAGACTGGTTTAAGGAACGGTTTAAGAAATAAAGGACAAAGGGCGTTTTTTCCTGTTACTGTGACTCTAATCAAATCCTCCCAGGGATAAGTGAGCGACAAGTAGAAGTTGGAAGGAGCCACCAGTGGAAAGGGGGAGAGGTATTACGCCAAGAGCTCATGCAATTAAGAAATCATTCGAATGACTGCTCAACATCTACTAGGGGGACGTCCGACCCCTCTTTTAGTTGCTTCATAGTGATATTGTAAGAGTTGACCAGGAAATACTCCTTCGAGTTCATCTAACCGTGAATTAAGAAGAAAATAGGGTAGGGGCGTTGCATTGACTACTTGTTGACCGCTCTTTCCAGCTCAGCGAACGCTGTACAACAACAAGAACATGTGTTAACTGCACCGCCTTTCTGTTCGAAGATGTACCGCAGCCGGTTATAGATCTTCTTGAGATCACACAGCCGCAACTTTGATTTCTGGTGGATGCATTGACAAGAGGCGTTGGGACTGAAAATAACAACAGATCCTACATACAGCGTTTTTGGTTTTAGATTAGCAGTTATCGTTCTTAGTGGCATCTCAAAGTATCGATGATAGTGATTTAAATGTGATCGTGTTTGGGGAAACAAACTTCTAACCTTACTTACCTACTTTGGATATCCATCTCAACGAAAATTCCTGCGCTAACCACTTATATTTCTTGTTTTAGGCCCGGATAGATGTGCTATACCAAGAACTAGCTAGCCTGGGAACCTTTGTAAAACTCTGGAAACCTCTGGAACTACTACTGGTTACAGCGGATTTTTGCTCGGACGCACAGTGGTGCAAACGTGAAATTTAATATTCAAAAACTGATAGATAATTAAATCCTTAAGAGTTTTAAGGAGCTACTTTTTTTATTTAGTTTTATAGTTAACGAGTTTTGTTAAAGAAAAAAGTTCTTATATCTGGAGAATTCGTCAACCAAACAAAACAAATGGTATATCCAATGAATGGCAATTGAATTCGATATATTTTGTTAATAGTAAGCTTCTATGCGAAAACTACTTTAGATTTTTTTTTTTACTCATTTCTTAAAACAACAAGTAGTTTTTAAGCAAAAAACACAACCGACTTCAATTCTCTAATAAAAATTTAGGAGTACCGTTAATTGTTTCATGATCCAATGATCGGATCTAAACCACATTAAAATGACACCGAAAGAAAAAAAAATACATACATAAAAACAATATTCCGACGAACGAACGAAAAATATATGAACGTACAAAAAAGAATGTTTGTTGCCCCTTATCGAGAAACTTGGGTACAGTTTAGTTATTTGTACAATGATTTTGGGTTGTTGTATCCAAACGTATCACCCGAATCTAAAAACTTTAACATACACGTCAAAGGATTAAACTAAAACAAAGGTTCCAAATTTCCGAGCTGTAGTTTATTAATAAATTCGGTTTGAAACATGCAGTCGTTTTGTAAATTTCGGTGTGGGTTCTGCGCAAAGATACAGTGGATGGCGTAGCCGGAGTTATGTGCACATTAAATGTTGTATACCTTTCACAGTAGAAGAGGGGCTTCTGCACTCTTCTCCGGCCACACAGAAAAGAGAGTTCTCATAAGTAATGCTTAAAATCCACGGCAGAAGGCAGAAGTAAGCGCACCAGGTGGTGGACCTAACAAAATGCATATTTTTAATGGCTTAGAAAAAGCTGTTATGGCATTGAGAACAAGTTCTTCATGCATAGGAGGAGTTATAGTTTGTGGCTCAACAATTCAATAAGAAGCTGACATAGATGCGTCCATGGTTACTCTGCCCGACAGCTCCGCATAACTTTGTGAATCCATTGCCACAGCGCGCTCTTACTCCGCTGCTATAATTGCAAATGCATCAGAATCCATAATTTTCCTCAAAATATGTAAAATCAACCAATTTTACTATAAACAAGCACATGGTGAGTGTTTTCTTAATTTATTTCCACTTTGTCATCCTTCATACAGCGGACTTCGAAAAACAACTGATAGCTGGCAAGGCTGCACATTTTTCCGCAAGGGCTGCAGCATGTCAATTTTTCGTTTTTCCCAACGTAGTTACGAGTTATGAATTGCGAAAATTCGGGTTCTAGGATAAGGGTGTATATCTCAATTTAAAAAAAAAATTAAAACCATCCAAAACTGTCGGCTGCAGGCCTTTTTGAATACATTATAAATTTCGCGTTTGCACCACTGAGGGAAGGTATGCTGTGATAGCAAAAGATCAGAAGATTGTAAACGCCATAGATGAAAGCTAGAAAGAAAATATAATCCCAAAGTATCAACGTGGTCTAACCAGCATTGGCAAAAGTAGTACAAGTAAAGCAGGGCAACCCAGATCCGCACTCAAGGTAGAGCAAGAGGCGATTGGAGACATGATTTTGGGTGCTATCAGCTGATTACTTTAGCAAGTTTTGTTATGTGACATATATGATTGCAAGTGTAGCATACCTTTAGGCACTACTTAGGTGTTGTGCATATCGAATTTAACAGAATATTTCCTCTTTAGTTCTGGGACACCCTAATGTGCATGCATTTGAAGGAATTTGCATTAGCAGTAGACGCTGAGCTTATATAAATAGTTGCAGAGGCAAAGCGATACCAAAAATTGCCGAGTCATAAGAAATAAATAGCTTCATTTACTTTTGAGCGATGTTGCATACATATCTACATATGCATGTATGTATGTATGTATATACATATCTACCACTTATATATGTATGTATACCCTAAGGCGAGTGTATGTAAGTGTGCGCTTTTAAGGATATGCAAAGGATAAGCTTACACACCTAACATTTCCCCCCAACAACTTTCTTATATAGCTGCGGTGAGTATTGTTGCATTTGTTGTTGTAGTTGTTGCTCCAGCTGTTGTTATTGTCACTGCTTCCGGTGTTACTGCTGCTGCTGTCACTACAGCCGTTCGTGGTGTTGTTCCAATAACTTCTGTAAAACTTTGCGTTGGCTCCATGCCTCTGCCGTCCTCCACGCCGGTGGTCAAACTTTGGCTTGAAATCAATTTTTGCTCAAAGTTATCACTTTTGTTGCTAATATTTTGCAACTGCTGCACTTCTCCTTGTTGTTGTTGTTGCTGTGGTTCGCGTAGCTTTTGCTGTTGTGGTATACTATGTTGACTATTCACTTCTTGTTGAAAGCGATTACGACGCAAAGTTTTTGCTCCACTCGCTGCTACATTGCCCACAACTAACGTGCCTCCTTCAACACCACTAATGCTGTGATGTCGCAAATGTTGTTGCCTATAGTAGGTTGGCTGCTGTTGCTGCGGATGTTGATGATGGTAATGATGTTGTTGTTTCCAAGGTTTACGTTTCAAATTTGTATGCGTTGACCACCTGTTTGGTCGAAGAGAAATTCAATTTCATTAAATTTTCCTTGAAAAAGAAGAAATGTGTGTACATTAGGGTGTCTCACCAAAAGAAGTAGCGGAATTTCAAAATCTGTTATTTCTTAAGACTTCCGCCAAAACATTTCTGATAAATATTTACCCTGTACTTGAGCTGGAATAATTGAAAATACCTCCAAAAACCTCATTATTTCGGTTCCGTTGATCAAATAAATAACAAAATTTTTTAAGCTTAAACTCTTCTAATATCTGACGAGACTGTTTGAAGAAAATATTTTTAAAAACTAATTTTATTAAAAAACAAGTAAGAAAGTCTAAGTTCGGGCGGAGCCGAACATTAAATACCCGGCGCAAGTATTAAATATATGTTTTTTCACCTTTCCGAAACCTTCCGCTAGATGGTAAGCCGGGGTGTATCAATTTTGAGTAAATTGGCCCTTCAATTTCGAAATATTGAAGTTTCAAGCATTTCTGAAATTTACCGTTATATGAGAAGCGGCCGTTATTTTAGTCCGATTTCAATAATTTTCAACGTTTTGCTTATATGTGGCAAGCACACACCGAGTTTGGTACAAATTGGTAGAACGGTTACCGATATACTTATATGTGATCATAAGTGGGCGGTGCCACGCCCATTTTCCAAAATTTTACCATAAACGTATTTCTTGGTAAAGAATTGTTGCAAGCATCAATTTTGAATAAATTAGCTTCAA